GGGGGGGAGAGGGAGAGAGAGATACCGCATTAAATGCTCGAAATACATCTTCAACTCAAAATGTCGAATTTCAGCAGTATATGTTCATGTAATGGTTTGTAAAAGAAACCTTTTCCAATAACACGAACGCAACGACATATGTTGATGTGTGCTATATCCGATTCATTGGCATCACACAGACACATTGTATTTTGAAGAACTGAACTGTCTTAAGAAAAAGGAAGGCAAATCCTCCTCTGGGTAATGTACTACAATATAGACTGAAGTCAAGTTCACAAATACATATTAGGTCGCCGAGATAAACTAGTAGCTATATTATAACTTTTTAGTTATGTAGCTGAAAAATTAGCTGTCACCAAAATATTGATCTAATTAAATTTTTAGAAAAATGTGAGCTAAATTTAAGCTTATCTTTTAGCCTAATTTTTTTTAGCCATCATTTAGCTACAGTTACATGGCAATCCCGTATTGGTTTAGCTACACTCTGCCGTATGTACTCACTTGAGCACGCGCTGCTCCCGGTCGTACTTGAGCACCTGGTCCTTGATGTGCACCTTGTGCGCGTAGCGCTGGCGCACGGCGATGAGGGCGTGCTTGTCCGGCGGCACGTTGCGCTGCTGCACCAGGTAGCGGCACGACGCGTTCCTCGGGTACACCCCGGGGTAGTTGGGGCTCTGGACGCGGCACGGGCGCACGTCGCAGCGCTCCAGGACGCGGTCGCAGTACGTGTCCGGGACCAGCTCGCCGCGCCACGTCGCCACCGAGCTGTTGCCGTAGCGGAGGCGCGCCGACGAGCGGCGCAGGAACTTGTAGGCCAGCTTGAAGTCGAAGTTGTAGCCGATACCCTAGAGACAAAAAAGAAAGACGGCGGGCTTGTTAGATACACGTGAGACTGCTGCTGCGGGCAATACCTACTATCAATGACATATGACATTGCTCGACAAACGCTGTAAAGTTTGGAGTGAGTTACGGTGAAGTATATCTACCGATGCACTTGGTGCGCCCATTTGTCTACAATTCATTCGGTAAATGACGGGGGCTCGACCCGCTCCCCGCTCAGCGCCTGCGAGACTCGGGGTAGGCCAGCCCGCAGTACACGAATGCACAGCAGACACGATATTGCCTACCTATCAGGCGCTTGGAGAGCTCCTCGGAGCGACAGAACTTGGCAGGTTCGCTTACGGCGAATAAGAGGGACGCAACTTTCCAGGTAGTACCTTGAGCCTGAGCCACGGTGAACCAGGGCGCATCAACGTAACTTTACAGTGGTATACTCGCTGTAGCTTGCGGTAAAAATGCACCGTAGCCAAACTCTCGCCCAACCAAAGGCTGCGGCCGTCCTCATCCAACTATGGATGTTTAAATGTGAAAAACACTATTTTTATGCGGAATAATAAATGTTTGATGATAATCCATTCTAAAACAATCTATTAACTGTTCCATTGTCAAGTTGCGATTTGAAACTGTGAAATTATAAAGATAATTATCAAAAACACAATGCATCGACTTATTTGTGTCATCACCGAGTAAGGACTGTACGTCGAAAACTTTACTTCGGTTACCGGTGAGACATCCTGAGCAAAACCACGCTAAAACACATACACCACCACATATGTATGATATGCGAAGACGGAACGGGTTTCGTTGAAAAGGAAGGTGTGAAGGGAAGAGAGTTGCAAGTTAACGTGATGTGCGGCCGTTCAATAATGCAGACAGACCCCCCTCCATCATCCCCCCACTTCACATTACCCCACCAACGCAGCCCGTATCTCCGTTCCTTATAAATGCGCGCAGAGGCTCTATATTTAAATTTCAAATCATATCCCGCGCCTTACTTAGGCCCCTCATTTTTGTCCCCGCCCGCCCTGCCGTGGGAGTGTTGCGTGCGTGTCTGAGGCGACGCACCTGCCCGCCAGGCCGGTCGCGCAGCGCCGGCCAGCCCAGGCTGGCAGCTGAGCCGACCCAAGAGCGCCGCCAGGTTTATGCATTCGCAAATAAGATTCAAATGAAATACTCCCGCGCTCTTTTCCTCACCAGAACAAATAAGAAAAGTTAACCCAAAAAATAAATAAATCAGGCATAAGATGGATTTTGTTAATCGCGTTCTTCTCCTTTTTTTACCGTCCCCCACTGAATGAAACACACGCTGACATCATCATTTACATGGTGGTTCGGTGGAGTGACACATCGTGCTCCCTGTCCACGCGCGCACACACACACACACACACACACGCGATGAAACAGACGAGGGCGCTAGGAATGATTACATTTCAAATGTGACTGCCTTTTGCATGCATGAGCGACGAGCAGCGGGGCCAGGTGACGACAAGTGACGCCCCCTCCCCTATACCCCCTTCCTCCCAAACGGCCTCGCACAGCGCATTTAAAAATATTCATTAAACGCGACAGGTGTGGGGCGCGGATGGGAGAAAGAGAGGGAAGGAGGCAGAGAGAAAGGAAAATAAGGATATGAGGAGAAGCAAGGCGGAGGGGGAAAGGAGGTAGCCGAGGAAGTGTGGAGGCAAGGCCACGAACGGAAGTTAGACCGGCAAAATGAAGGGGGATGCAAAGAACCCGCAAGAATGTTGAAAGGAGAGAGAAAGAGAGGAGTGTTTGTGTGTGTGCGAGAGAGAGAGGGGGGAGGGGAGAGGACGGGGCGGGGGATGATGCGCAGCGGCTCTCGTGGTCGGGCTCTCTCAGCGAGCTCCAGCAGCAGAACAGGTGCATGAACTTGGCAAACTTTTCGACAAGACGGTGGTGGCGTTTGTAGGCGCGCGCGCGCGCGCGGCGGGGCCGGGCTCCGTGTAATATGGAGCGTGGCGAGACGTTTAAGGACTTCTTTTGAAGCCCTCTGCCCCACCCAGCCCCGCCCCCGCCTGCCGTGACCCGGACCGACCCCACGCCGCGCGCCGCCACCTCATAAACATACCGAGTCTGCTGCTGCTGCTAGTGCTCCTCCTCCTCCTCCTCATCCCCAACCCGCCCCTTCTGCTACTTCTGCTCCTCCACCCCACCCCGCCGCTGCTGCTGATGCTGCCGCTGGGTCACTGGCACCGCTGCTGCTGCTCCTCCCCATGTAGTAGTGCGCCTCGCACTCTGCTGTTGTGCGTGCGGGCCGGGGAGTGCCATGCCATCCGCCGGGACTGGTTCAAGCTCATCCCATAGCCGCGCTGTTGCTCGCTAGTGGGTACACCCGGGCTAACTGACTTAACTCTTCCGCTGTTTAAAAAAAAACCTTTCCGACGTGGCCGCAATTTATTTACCTATTGTTTTTCTTTTACACAAACATATTTACTACGGCGAAAAAGAAAGAAAAAGAGGTTCGCGAGTGTGATCGTTGGCGGGCTGTGTGAGGGAGAGGGTAAATAAGAGAGGATGAGTGAGAAAGAGGGTAAGGGGGAAGGGGGAGAGAGAGGGGAGAGAGACTGGGGTAAGCGAGAGAGTGAGAGATCGGAGGTGGTGGCCAGCGAGCCCGCCTGCCTGTAGCTTTACGGTGGGGCATAGCGACAGAGGACTTTATGGGCTGCCAGAGCGGGCGCCCGTAAACTGGGCACCGCCCACCCACGCCACGCCGCGCCACGCCACAGCGCGCAGTAGCATTGACGGCATGTGTGCCACTGAGGGGGTGGGGTGGGGGGGTAGGGGGTTACTCCTTGGGAAACTACTGAAGGCTAGATGAGATACCCATTGACCTTCCGAACGGGTGGGGCGTGTGTATATAGATATACAAAACCAAAAATACTGCTTCTGAGGGGGAAAGGGGGAAAGAAAATCGCGGGTGAGAAAGGGGAAAAAACACCGCACTGATTGGTTGCCGTTGTCGGCAGCTGAGGCCTAAACCGTGCCGACGGCTGGACGCTCGCTCTCTCTCTCTCTCTCTCTCTCTCTTGCTCTCTCTCTCTTTTCCTCTGGCACCCAGAGGCGTGTGGGCCCCCAATTTTTCTCCATGTCGTTTCCCGCAGGCGCCTTCCATACAGGCGTGGCAAGGGGGTACACACTGCAAACCACAAAAATGCAACCGGGAAAACAGAGGTACGACATATGTCCACAGTATTCGCAACAGTGAACAACAGTCATAAACTGACGACGTTGGCATACTCTAAAATTTAGTGCCCTACCCAACGCTTTAGAATGAATTTTAACAGTGTCGGACTGTACTTTTGTACCGTGCCGTAGGATAATGGCGAACAAAATTTAACATAATTTCACCGTTATTCCAATTAACAGTTTAAAACTTGTTATAATGCTACAGATTTTTTTACAGTGGCGTGGCCACCTTTTTAACGACACTAAATTTAATATAATTTTTTTAGAAGTGATCTTATAGGAGCATTACAATGTTGCGTCTAGTTACCTCTAACAAGGGCCTTAAAAATTTGCTGTCCACCGCATGTCAACTAATCAGAAAAACCACTACGGCTAATGCGTTTAAAGTATAAAGATAAAATTGCGGAAAATATAGTAGTCATCCTACCAAGGTGCGGCATACTAATAAAGGTGGTGACTAGGCTAGTGTGTCGGACAGGTATGACAGGGAGCCTAGGCGGAAAGGGGTTGGCGGAGTGGGAGAGAATGGAGGAAAATTAGGATTGGGGGGGGGGGAGGGGTCGGCCTGTGGCCCGAGGCAGCGGCGCCGCGGAGGAGGGGCAGGAGCGTCTCGTGGAGGTTTGAGGTTGACGTGGAACCTGAACAGCGGACGGAGGAGAGGAGAGTAGAGCGGCTACAGAGAGAGAGAGAGAGAGAGAGAGAGAGAGAGAGAGGGAGAGAGAGAGCGGCTCTGATGATTCCACTTTGAGCGAAACGAAACCCACCCCAGCCCGCCCTGCATTGCGGTCCGTTACCGAAGGCGGGGTGGGGCCGGGCGGCTGCGGACACGCGCCTCTTGGGATGCAGCTGGGGGTGGAGAGAGGGGGGGGGGGCTTGAATTCGGAAACTCGAGCAGCAAGTCGTGGAAACGCGCGCGCGCGCGAAGAAGCAGAATAAGAAGAAATGGTCGAAAATGGCCGCGATGCCTCGACAGTTAGTTTTTATTCATGGCCCGTCGCTCGCCCGACCGCATCCCCAAACTGTCCTCTCCACCCCGCCCCAAACCCCACCCCGCCAAGGCCACTGCATTAATCCCCCACGAGAGCTCGGCAACGCCGCCCCGCCCGGGAGACAGCTGGTCAGCGATGACAGACCAAATGATGTATCACAACGAGCCCGGCCGATCTGTTGGATACATCATACGCACGCACGCGCACTGCCAGAGCATCGCCAGGGGGTACGTCGGGTGCGAACACCATCTCTCTCTCTCTCCAGTTCCCCCTTCCTGCTCGCATATTCCCCGAGTCTTTTTCCTGCCACAGTTTTTGGACGGCGCAAAGCCGTGTGTTAATGCCTGTGCCATCCATCTTCTCTCTCTCTCTCTCTCTCTCTCCCCCCCCCTCTCTGCGCAATGAAAGAAGACCCTGTCATACAGATAGGAACAATGACGGACAGTAAGAAGCACAGAAATGGGAAGAGGGAAGGGGGGGGGGGACACGATGAAGGACTTCATTGAAGGAGGCCAGCATGCGCCAAGACCGCGAGAAGAGCTGCCAGACGGACCTACAAACGACCACCTTACGGAAACTTTTCTTCTCTTCACTTTGACATGTTTTTTCCCCCTGATTTCTCTCTAAGCCAAAGAAGCATACATAATAAAATTGTTGCCAAGCTCCCTGCGTGTGTCGTCCGCCTGCCGCCGGGCTGCGCGAACAGCCACATGAGCCAGATGCACTCCAACAAGGTCAGGAGCCAGCAGGCCAGGAGCAGTCTTTTTACTGCGGCGTAACCTACATATACTATGTTGCGGTTTGCGTACCCTGCGTGCCATACACATTTTTTATTATTTTCCAAGAGAAAAATAAGACAAAAATTTAAAATATTTGTGAAATGTACGATATGGGTGTCTGAAAATCCCTCCCCAGAAAAACGAATGACTGACGACTATCTTCAGCCTCCCCTACAATTGCTAAAATATCAAAGAACTGCTCTAAGGCCTGGTCAGGAGTCCTAGAGTCCCAGCAAATAATCATTATACTCAAAGAACTGCGATCAATAAACAATCTAAAACAGAATAACCATAGCGCCTTGCGGGACGAAAGGTATACGGTGGACCTTTAGTATGACAAGCATGTGGTTTTCCGAGCGATTCCTTCAACATTCTTTAGCATTTTATCTGTGGTGTTTACTGTTCCGTTTTCCTCTTCAGACTCCGGTTGCTTTCGAGTGAATGCCCGTCTAAATCTACAAACACGCAGGCTTCCGCGCCCTATACCAGTGAGCGAGCCCCAAATGACTCCGGCCCCAGCAGCCTGCTAGCGGACCTCGGAGGAAGCGAGGAGGAGGAAGAGGAGGAGGAGGAGGAGGAGGAGGAGGAGGAGGAGAGTGAGGAGGGGGGCATCTTTTCATGGGGGCGGCACCCATCTCGTTTGCGGGGCATTCACTCCAGGACTGCTGCTGAAAAGGCCGCCCGCCCACCCCGAGATACGGCTGCATGGCCACCTCTTCCTATATGAAACTTTAATTATTTCTTTTTTATACGTGTTTGTAAAGCGGAAGCAGACGCTTTAGAAAAGTGGAAGGTGTCCCGGAAGTGGTGCGGTTGCGAAGAGGAAGTCGCTTGATTCAAACATGCAAGTGCAAGTGTACGAACAAAGTCGACGGTTTCTACAATAGGGGGGCGGCTAAGAATGTGGACCCACAAAAGTGATGCAATAACCACAAATTCTCCGTTTTGCAGGGAAAAAAATATTGAAAAGACTGTTACATACTTACACTCATGAATCAAGTGTACACTGGTAAGTGAGAAAGTGCAAGTTAAATAATTGCAAGTGTTCCATTGCACAATATAGCTCACTCAAAAGCCGAAGGTGTTTAATGAATAGGTATAGGCAAACGAGAAGCACACTTAGAAGTGCACAGCTTCCGAGTTGAATGCTTGCCCCGGAAACGCAAGTAATCAACTCGAAACTGCACACTTACGAATGTTGAGCAATTGCACACTTGGGTTTCTTAAGTGCAGTCGCAACAGTCGATACCTTGTTGTCACAGGTTTACAGAGAGGAACGGTGTGGTAAGTGCTTACCTGCTCAGACAGCCGGCGCAGCTCCAGGGTGAGGTTGAGGCTCCTGGTCTCCGAGTAGTACACGGTGTAGCCCCACGCCGAGCCGCACCACTGGCCGCCCGTCGGCGGCCGGCCCTCCTCGCGCACCGACATGTGGCCGTCGGGGCAGCCGTCCTCGGTGAACGACACGAACTGCCCCACCGTGAACGTGTCGAACGTCAGCTGCGGACAGAAACGAGAAGACGGTGAGGGTCGCAGAAAAGGATAGAGAATGCCGCCGTCGAGAGTAGATTGCGTAGCAGAGGAGAAGGGCTCCCCTTCGCTCCCCCCTCGCCCTGGCCAGTGTGTCCCGCAGCCAGACGACCCCCCCCCCCTCCCGCCCCCATCCCGGGCCACTCCGTGCGGGCTGCCACCTTACCGTCGTCGTCCCCGACGACGCGCCGACGCTGCCGCTCTCCGGACAGTTTTAAAAGAGCTTGCTGACTCTGGCGACAACGACGTGTCAAGCAAAAGGGTGGCGGTGGAGGTCGAGAGGTGGTGGGAGAGGGGGTCCGAGCGCGTGAGGAGGGTCCCAAGCAGCAGCAGCGGGGCCCGGGGGACGCCGCGGCGCGGCTGTCATGCCCGGCGCAGTCAATGAGGCCGTCCGGTCCGACACCAGCGCGGCAACACTCTTCAACACTTAAAAGATCGGAAGAACAACGGGGGAAAAAAAGCTAAATAGCTTAATAGCTACAACCAATAATAGCTCATTATGGGAAGGCCAGACGTAGCTAACAAATTGGGCTGTGTCGCAAAATTTATGGCTATTCATCTTTTAAAAAATTGGCTGGTGTAGCTAAAAAGTTATCCATAGAGCTAAACATGACTGACTTTTCAGATACATAACGAAATTATTGGTAATCCTGTAGCATTTCCGGGGGGTTGTGCCGGTTGTGATGGAGGAAAAGTAAAGACGAAAAAAAATACAAAAAAAAACCTACTACTACTAAAGCCGCTTGTTTCCATTTTCGAACATACCTCAGGCACGTTCTAGGTTCTGCAGTCTTGAAATAGAGGCAACCGGGGATGGCCAGATAGAGACACAGACAATTTGCGACCAAGCAAGCTCTCCCCCTCCCCATTCCTTTAGTTAGGTATTCCCCCAAATTTTACCGAAAATTTCCGGGAAATTCCTGCAAATTTCCGGAAAATAACAAAAACTTCTTAAGACTGGGAATTTTTTTTGGCTGAGCGATTAGCGAAGCCCATTACTCCACTGACCGGAAAAGTTTCATTCTGTTTGTCTGTTTGTCTGTTTGTTTGTTTGTTTGTATGTCTGTCCGCACGATAACTCGAGAAAGAATTGAGATAGCGACCTGGGATTTTCAGGGTCGTTTTGTATCATAAAAAGACAGATCGAGTTCGAAGATGAGCATTCTAGCTCAAAAATTGGCTTTTTAAAAAATCAAAAACTACAGGTCGCAATATGTATTTTTATCAAATAATTTTTTATGGGTTCCTAAGGGGTAACTCGTCAAAGTAGAGCCCCATGGGCGAAAATTTCGTCCGTTTGGCTCTATCTTGTACCGTTTAGGTGCTAGGGGGCAATTCTTGGCAAAAAAGAGGTAAAAACGATCAAATGGTCGATTAAATCGTTAAAAAGACTTCATTTCGAAAAAATGTATATACACTCCTATTACCCCGTCTTGGGTGTCAGCGCCGCAGGCCTAGCTATATGTGCGCCAGGCGCGTCACAGCGTAACAGTGTTTCGTGAGATATCGCGAAGCCTGTTACGCGAGACGTGGTCTGGCGTACATATAGCTAGTTTATTTTTACCACCGGAAAGTTTCCTTTTCCCATGAAATTTTTCTAAATTTTCCGGAAACTTTCCAGGGCTTCCAACCCTACCCTCCCTCTCTCGGTCCTACCCGCGCCAAGCCCACGCGTGCCACATCCATTTTGCATTCGAGGCCCCCGCCACAGCCCCGGGCCCCGGGACCTAGGCACGCCTAGCTAAGGGATGCGGTTCGAAGCCTCTTCGAGCACTAGTCTGCATGTGTCCTCCTTCCAGCGCCCGCTCTCACCCTATCTCTCTTTCTCTGTCTCTCTATCCATCCCTGTCTCTCTCGCTCGTTCGCTCCAAGCGCGCAGTCTCAGGAGCGCAGCACCTACACAAGAGGAGATCCTGCAGAGAGGAGAAAGGGTCTGGGGCACGGTCGTCATATTAATGAACCACTGGAGAGGAGAGAGGGGAGAAAGAAAGAGACCAAGAGAGGGGAGAGAGAGAGAGAGAGGAAGAGAGAGAGAGAGAGGAAGAGAGAGAGAGAGGAAGAGAGAGAGAGAGAGAGAGGAAGAGAGAGAGAGAGGAAGAGAGAGAGAGAGAGAGAGGAAGAGAGAGAGAGAGGAAGAGAGAGAGAGAGAGCCGAGGGAAGACCTTAAACGGGAGTGGTCTCCCTCCGTTTTATGGCAAGGCGTCTTTATTTCATCAATCGAGGAAGCAAAGAAAAAGATAGGGGAAGCAGGCGGGGAGGGGGGGGGAAGAGAGGGGTGGGCGGACGGGCGCGTGGTTCGTCACGCACAGGAAGCAGCACCGCTCTCTTTGCCCCGGCGGAGATATTTTATCGCCGACTCATCAGCCGCTATAGCTTTGCTTGGACCGCGGCTCCCCGCAGCCGGCCCCGCCCCACAACCCACCCTACCCCGGCCGCCCCACCGAAACCCCACCGCAACCCGCCCCCCGTCCCCGCACGGGATAGGGATCGCCTCTCTACAATGGAGCGACATATTGCCGCCTACTTTGTATCCACGCGAGATGCCGTTACGCGTCGTTTCCATCAGGAGCTAGTTTCACAGCACTCGCCATAGGGGACCCCCCAAAAATTTTAAAACAGGGTGTCGAGCGCCGACCGAAAATAAAATTCCCGAACTTTTCCCGTATTTCCCGAGCAAAAATTGACGAAATTCCCGAGTATTGTAACCCTTTCAGATGAAAATTTTTCCTATCGAATGAGAGGTAAAAATTAACAAATGTCTAAATACTCTTGTTGACAGGAGCATGGCCGAGCAAAACAAAGGTATTCCCCATAGAAAATCGCGAGCGAAGCGAGCGAGAATTTTTTTGAAATGTTTTTGATATAAAGAGCTGTTTTAGAGGGATTAAGCTCTGTTGATAGACCCTTTCGACACCGTTCCTTTTTCACATCTGGTATCGTCAGCCGGGGTTGCTCTGGTGCCTGCTTGAGATCATACACCTACCAGACACCGGACCCATTTCAATGGGCGTCTTTCGGCCTTCCGCTAACGCTTTGAGATCATTACGGAAGGTGACCGCCATGAAAAAGTGCGAGCGAAGCGAGCGAGAATTTTTTTCGGTATTCTATGACAAAGAGAGTGGTTTATGAGCAGGAAAATGACAACTTAAAGTACCTTTTTGGTGCATTTTGCATCTCATTCCTGGAGAAAGACACGGCACTTTGAAATTTTTAGAGATTTCCCGAGTAGATTGCAAAATTCCCGGACTTTCCCCGAACTTTTCCCGGACCAATTTAATTCCCGTATAATTCCCGTATTTCCCGTATTTCCCGAGTCGCTCGACACCCTGTAAAATAAAGAAAAAAAATTACAAACAATGTACGTGCATGGCGAGTCAATTAGCTTGTTCTAGAAAAAGGACGAGCAAAGCAACAGCCGTGTGTGCGTACAGGGGTGGAAAAAAGGGTGGAGAGAGGGGAGAGAGAGAGAGAGGGGGAGGGGGAGAGAGAGAGAGAGAGAGAGAGAGAGAGAGAGAGAGAGAGAGAGAGAGGCGCGGCTGTGGTGGCGGCGGCGCGACGGCGCGATGGAGACGAACGCGAGGGCCGCACACCAAGTGAAAAATGGCCACATTTTCACGAGTAATGTAATTGCAAGGCCGCGAAAGTGCGCGCCGCGCCACGCCGAGACAGTCGTGCGGGTGGTGGGGGGAGAGGGGAGGGGTGGAAGGGGCTGGGCGGCAAGAGAAATAGTCGCGCCCGCCGCGGCCTCCCAGTACATCCTCGTCACTGTCCACGCAAGAGGGAATCCCTGACGGCGCCGTCGAGAAAAGACCGGCGCGAGTTGTTTTATACTTTTTCTTTCACCCCTTTCGTTTTTCTTTTCACGCCCATTTAAAGAACACCTGATGGAAAAGACGTGATGCGTGGCCACCGTATGGTCACACTTGCTGCTGTTTCTATTTATTTTTTTCAGTGACCGCCCCTTTGCTTTGCTGTACCGAAGCAGGGGTCACAAAATCACCTTCACAGATGGCCGTATCATCATGCGTTCCTTGCCTTTCTTTGTGGTGTTCTCTTTTTTTTCCTACTTGGCTCAAACAGAACGGACGTTTCACACGCATGACGGAACAACAAGCAGTCTGAGTAATGACGACGTCCTCTCAGGTAGAGGTTTGGAGGGGGAGGGGGGGGGGCACAACTAAAGCGGCGCGCAGCGAGGAGAATTGAGACAAACTGCCGTCATCACGTATTCCAGCTCCAGCGAGGCTCCTGGAGGGCCCGGGGCTCCATCAGTCGGGCGGGGCGGGGCGGGGCCGCACCAAGCCCCTGCGACACGTGTGCCATGCCGCTATCAGTCCACGGACAGGTAGCGCGGGGGCGTGGCGGGGCGGAACGTGGCGGGGCGTGGCGGGGCGGGACATGCGCTCAATTTACACCGCTCCTGCAGCTCGGACCGTAATGGCTGCCTCTCCTCTCGCTCCGTCGTCTGGCGCCCCACTTTCTTCTTCTTCTTCTTCTTCGTCTTCTTCTTCTTCTTCGCGACCCCTCCACGGCCGGGACCGTCTCCACCGCGGCGGTATAAGAGGGTTGGGGCCCGAGCCGATCCCCAGTCTAGCCTTGTTGTCGATCCTAAAGATTTAAAAAGTCCAAAACTTTTCTAGAAAAAAAAAAAGAAAAATTCTTGAACAATCCGTGCGAAAGACATCGTCCCTCACAACCAGGCTGTTAATTACTGTAGGCTGTTTCGTAACTGTGTTAATTTTTAAGATTTTTTTAAAGTTATGGCGCAAATTTTAAACAATTTTTTCCTCATACTTCGGCAGATCTACACATCAACGCGCTGCTGAACGCATCTGCGGTAGCAATGCGAGGGGGATGAAAAAAAAATCATCATCATCATGTATGAGTGGTGCCTGGAGTGGTGCTAATCACATGGCGAGTGTGGAGTGCGCGGCCCATGAAGCACTCGGCCTATCATTACACTCCCTCCC